TCCTTCTCCAAGATGGCGTCCTTGCTGTAGTCGGAGCCGGTTCTCTATCTAGTCCAAGGAGAAAAGAAGGTTTGGGCCCGCTTTGGCTGCTCTGCTTCTGCCGCTATTGTAGCGAGCTGCAGTCGCTGGAATGTGTGTGTCACGAGGTGGACTCCCATTATTGTCCCAGTTGCTTAGAAAATATGCCATCAGCCGAAGCCAAACTAAAAAAAAAAAAAATAGATGTGCCAACTGCTTTGACTGTCCTGGCTGCATGCACACACTATTTACCCGGGCAACAAGCATCTCCACACAGCTCCCAGATGACCCAGCCAAAAACCACCATGAAGAAAGCCTATTACTTGGCCTATGGATTTTGTCACTGGACATCTAGAGATGTGGGCATGGCAGACAAATCTGTAGCTAGTGGTGGTTGGCAGGAACCAGAAAATCTTCACACACAATGGATGAACAAATTGATTGAATATTACCAGCAGCTTGTTCAGAAAGAGAAGGTTGAGTGAGATTGCAAGAAATTGGCACGACGTAGAAACTATATGCCTCTGGCTTTTTCGGACAAATATAGTCTTGGAACCAGGCTTCAGCTACCACAAGCTGGTGTATCCATCAGTATCCTTGCTGGGCTTTCCCTTAAAGAAGGAAAGGACCAGAAAGTGATAAAGATTGAGCCAACTCAGGCCGTGGATGAAGTGAAACCTCTACCTGAAGACTGTTACACAAGACCAGTAAATTTAAAAGAGGTGACTACCCTTCAGCAGCGCCTCTTACAGCCTGACTTCCAACCAATTTGTGCTTCACAAGTCTATCCTTATCACAAACATCTTCTGATCAAATGGTCCCTGCACTGCCAAAAAATGTGAACATAATTTGAGCAAGCCAGAATTTAATACAACATCTATCAAATTTAAAATCCAACTGGTTGCTGTCAATTATATTCCAGAAGTGAGAATCATGTCAATTCCCAATCTTCGCTACATGGAAGAGAGCCAGGTCCTTCTGCCCTTTACAAATCCTGTGGAAAACCTTACCCATGCGACTCTGTTTGAGTGTGAGAAGGGGGATCCTGATGATATCAATAGCACTGCTAAGGTGGTGGCGCCTCCCAAAGAGCTCATTTTAGCTGGCAAGGATGCAGCAGCAGAATATGATGAGTTGGCAGAACCCCAGGATTTTCAGGATGATCCTGACATTATAGCCTTCAGAAAGGCCAACAAAGTGGGCATTTTCATCAAAGTTACCCCCCAACGTGAGGAGGGTGAAGTAACCGTGCCCTTCAAGATGAAGCATGATTTTAAAAACCTGGCAGCTCCAATCTGCCCCATTGAAGAAACTGACCAAAGCACAGAAGTCATCTGGCTCACCCAGCATGTGGAACTCAGCTTGGGCCTGCTTCTTCCTTAAAAGGTTACTTTGGTGGGCAGATTCCACCTGAGACAATGTCAACACAGACCTGTGTTAAAACATGGAAGCTCCTGCTTCATTAGGCTTTGTTTATCATGTTGTACCCATGCACTACTCGGTCCTCTTCCTAAGGGTAGGAGCACAAGCCAGGCATCAGGAACACAGGGTAACTGCTGTTCCTCTTGCTGTCACCTCTATTGACACCAGTCAATCTGTGTTTCCCTCACTGAGCCCTGCACATTGAATAACACAACATAGCTCCATCCCAGTAAAGGGGATGGCTGTTCCTCAGAGTGGTGTTAGATTTACCACCTGAGAAACTGACTATACTATCTCTTGATCTGATCTCACAAAGGATCACAATCTGACAGTTGAAACTTAACAGTGATAACCCAAAGGTGGACCTGCTATTAATGATCCAGCATTGGTCTCAATGTACCAGCTGCTTTCTGCATTCCAGTATATATCATCTAAAACATACCCCTTTATTTGCCAACATGGCTCTCATTTTGTCATAGATTTATGTTTAGCAAAAAAAATAGAATTGACATATTATCTTTAGTTTTGTGATGTTTGGAAAAACCTGTGAAATAAGGCATTCTCATTTACCCTCTTTCTAGATGAATATGGGACACTAATTTATCAGTTGCTTTTAATTTTTTCCCAGAACAATATGAAGCTTTTTCTTTTAAGAATGTGAAAGAAGCAAGGAATTACATGTCATATCAAGAAGGTAGCGAATTCCATTTGTTTTAAGTTTTGCCCCAATACCTAGGAATGAATGCTGCCACAGGACGCAGTCTTTGTTCTTACCCCTCATCCTCTCTTTTCTGCTCTGCCTTTTTAATTCAATAAATTTTTCTGAGAAAAAAAAAAAAGAGAGAGAGAATAAAATTATGGCATTTGCAGGTAAATGGATGGAGTTGGAGAATATCATGCTAAGCGGAGTAAGCTAATCCCAAAAGAACCAAAGGCCAAATGTTCTCTCTGATAAGTGGATGCTGATCCATAATGGGAGGCAGGGGGCATAGGAAAAATGAAAGAACTTTGATTGGGCAAAGTGGAGGGAGCAGTGGGGAGGGTGCATAGGGGTAGGAAAGATGGTGGAATGAGATGGACATCATTACCCTACGTACATGTATGACTGCACATATGATGCAATGCTACATTGGGTACAACCAGAGAAATAAAGTTGTGCAGCAATTGTGTACAATGAATCAAAATACTTTCTACTGTCACATATACCTAATTAAAATAAATTAATTAATTAAAAAAATCAGACACCAAAATAAACAGAATTTGGAACTAACCTGCTAACTTAGTATTTTACCCAATATTAAACAACTTTTCAGTCTCTTTGTTTTTAATATTAATAATATTTTCATAGTGATGTTTTGTTTCACTTAGTGTTTTTAGGGCTGGATATGGTGGCCCATACCTCAACTCAGGAGGATTGCAAGTTCAAGGCCAGCCTCAGCAATTTAGCAAGACCCTAAGCATTTTAGTAAGACCCTGTCTCAAGTTAAAAAATAAAAATAATAATAAAATATATAATAAAAATAAAAATAGCTAGGTGAAGTAGCACTGTCTTCAATCCCCAGTACCAAAGAAAAACAAACACCAACAAAAAAAAAAGTGGGGATGTTGCTTAGTGGTAAAAGGCCACTGGGTTCAATTCCTAGTAACCCCATACACACAGATTTTTTTTAATGTTTAAATGTTATTTATTTATTTATTTAGGTATTGGTGATTGATTACCATTGTGCTACATCCCCAGCCTTTTTTTACTTTTTATTTTGAGACAGGTTCTGGCAAAGTTGCTGAGGTCATGGTCTCCAACTTTTCCTCAGCCTCCGAGTCACTGGAATTACAGGTGTGTACCACCACACCCAGCCTCAAATAAAACTTCTTGACAAATAATAAAAGTTACTTCAAATAGAATTTTTTTAAAAAATTTTAAAAATTTTAGATAACTGTTGTTTCTCATTTTTATCTTTAAATTTATTTTATTTTGTGGGTGTGCTTCATTATGAACATTTATAATATATTAATATAATTTATGAATAAGTAAATATTATATGTTAGAATTATATATTCAAAAGTGTTCTTCTGATAGAACACGTGATCAAAAAGTATGAAGCTCATGCTTGGGAAATGCTGTTTGTTTGTAGCATTCAACACCAGACAAGGACCAACCAGATATCTATCTGTAAAGCGTTATTTCAGTCAATCATGACAGATCCACTCATAGCCACTAAAAATGATGTGTACTGCCACAGACACAAAGAGGGGGAGGCAAAGACAGATGCACAGTGTGTGCTTTACTGGTTTCTTTCTAGACATTTGTACACTCAACACACATACACTCTATCTCACACCCCAATCCTTTATTGCCTTGGAAGAAGGAGCCTGGGAACCCAGAGAGCTTACACTATTTGAATATTTTTATTACATGCAGAATTTCCTTTTATTTTAAAAAAGCTGACCCCCCCCCCAAAAAAAAAGAAAGAAACCATCACTTCAAAATGTGAGATAAGTAAAATACTGCCTCTTAATAGCTAGATATTCTGTACATACATAATTATTTCCTTAGGAGAACCTCCTCTAAATAAAATAGTCATTATGTAAACATATTTCAAGGTTTACCTACATTTGACAAACTGTCCTCCAGAAAGATTTATCCTTATTGTCTGATATTCTAACCACTAGCCAGTTAGAGCTATTTGAAATTAAAGTTTAAATTAATTTGAATTAAGTAAATTTTATTTATTTATTTGTTTGTTTATTTCAGTGGTGGGGATTAGACCCAGGGGCTCTCACATGTTCTGCAAGCACACTACCACCAAGCCACATCCTCAGTCCCCAGAATTAAGTAAAATCACAAACACTTCCTGGACTAGCTTATTAAGTATTTAATAGCAACACAGAATGTTTTACTAAAAGCCCAGGGATAAGACCAGTTTCTGCTCTCACTACCAGCACATGAATGCACCTGTTTTTCTGCATCTTTACCAGTACTGAACATTGTCATACTTTCTTGTCTTTGTCAATTTAATAATTGAAAGATGAAGTTTGTTGCTTCAATTTGCATACCCCAAACATTTATAAGCTATTTGCATTTCTTCCTTTGTTAACTTTTTAGTAAAAATTTTCTATGTTTAAGAATTCCTCTAATAGCTACAGAATAATTTACTCATGTGCATGCCAGAGACAGCATAGTATAAATCTTGCCTGATTTGTTTTAGTTATGCTAACAGATATAATGAAAATGCTGGAGTATAAAGAATGTCCTTCCTTACCTAATATCACATTGTCCCTTTGCAGAGAGATCCTTGTGTTCTTTGATCATATTTATATATCTAGTATCCCTCAGAGGAAAGAAATCAGACAAAAGTGGGTCCAAGTCCCACCTCCTCTGCTTTCTGAGATTTTCCTGTAAAATTAAAATAACAATACCTATCTTTCTAGATTAGTATGAAAAATATAAGTTATGCAGAATGTCTAGCCCACTGCCCCATGTGTGGCAGACAGCTCCTGTTTTCATTGTTGCCTGGGTTTACCTTGCCTAGTCATCTGTGTGCTGTGGCCTTCTTTCCTAGGGATGGTCAGACTCTCTGAACTTAGATCCACAGTTCACAATTCTAGGCCCATCAAGACGGCCACCACCTTGCCAGATAACATCATCACCCAGCGAGAAGATGCAGGAAGGGCAGTGGAGGAGGAAGAGCAGGAAGCAGACACTGAAATCCGGCCTCGGAGGAGGAAAGCAGCCAGGCTGCTCGAGGCAGTAACAAAGGTTGAGCCAGAGAAGTGTAGAGGAAAGAGGCAGAAGGACTTTGACATATCAGAACAAAATGAATCCAGTGATGAGGAGAGCCAGAAAAAAGAGAGAACTCATGCTACAGAGGAGCCATGGACTCAGAATCAGCAGAAGCTTCTGGAAATGGCATTACAGCAGTATCCAAAAGGGGCCTCTGACCGTTGGGACAAAATAGCCAAATGTGTCCCAGCTAAGAGCAAGGTAAGTGAATGGGGAGAAAGGTGACTGTATGCTGGTATAGAGTCCCACCAACGTGGCTACAGTCCCTGTACCTACTTCATTTGTCACACACAAATCTGTCATCAGCTGTCCGTCTGCTCTCATATTTGCCAGTTATCTTCCAGCATATTTTTTCCTTAACATATGAATCTGTGTGATCATTTGATTGGTGGGTGTAAGTGAGGTCAAGAAGCTAAAAATTTAGTTATTATACAGACTAGCTGATTTTTCCCAGAGAAGATTCCATTTTTGGAACATTCACTTCACCTCTACAATATGCCAGGCTCCTTGAGAGTTTGCTCTACTCAGTCAGGCAGTTGAAAGAAGCATGAACTGGCGCGAGCATCATCCTCACCACAGAAGCAGCAGCCAGCCAGCAGGCCATGGTTGGAAGTGGGATGGGTCATAAAATGACAAGGCCCTCTTTGCTCTGTAAAAGGCTTAAAACCAAAGGGACCTGTGGGGTAGAACTACCTTGCTATTATCAAGATAACCATCAGTTCTGTGATGTGAATTTGGACCTGGTTGTAGCACCTGGCCACCCCCAGGCTCTAAGGCAGGACTCTCTTGGGTGGGGTCAGTGTAGGACTGACATTTAGGTCTTGACCTGCCCTCTGTAACCTGGGCTGTTTATAATTGACTTCTTTCCTGTTTACAGCTCTTAGTATCTGCTAAAGTGCACCTGCAGGTCATTCTCAAATAAAATCTCAGAAGAGAAGAAGGGTTGTCTCCTACAGAGAGCCAGCCCCTGCCCCAGGCTCGGTGCTCTCCCTGCTTGGGATCTGACAGTTTGGAGCTATAGAGCTTCAGGGTGTGATCTTTTCAACATGCCCTTTCCCGCCACACTCGTCTCCTGGAGTTCTCACAGTCTGAGGCATCAGGAATGCCAGAAATCAAAAGAACCAATCTCTAGTGCCTTCTGTGCCTATCACTTAGTAGCCTCTGGGCATACTGATGCTCATTTACATTCTTTTTTTTTTTTTTAATTGGAAAAAATCTAGCTTGTGGCCATGCATGTCCCTGAGTGCACAGGTCTAGTTATCTATCACCTACTTTAAGATGATGAAGTTGAGAGTTCCTGGGGAGAAAAATAAACCATTAGCAGTTGATCTATTTGGGAAGCACAGATTCTCCTACTCTCTCCAACTGGTTTGCCAGAAGTAATTATTTCCCCTGAGTTTCATTCGCGTCAGTCAGGACACCAGCATTTATATGTGTAATGAATTGGCAATGGCTGGAAATAAAGGAGCTGGAACTGTGGATTCCTTGGGACAGAACACTCAGAAACCCATTGCCTAGGGGTTTGGAAGTGTCCTGTTTTCAGCTAGGAAAGGGCAGGGTTCCCATAAGCCTTGACTTGAGGAGCGGGTCCCGGAGCAGCTGCGCCCAGCCTGGCTGTGGAGGCTCCTGCCAGCCCTCTCATGGGGATGTAGGGCGCCTGGGCGGAGCCTTGCCACCTCTCAGCTCAGCACTTGGGCTAATGTGTTCAGACTTAGGTTGGTTCCATACACTGGGCAGCTAGGAACACATGGCTGCTGAGGAAACACTGATATTTTTAAAGACCATAGGTGAGTGTCTTTGCAGATGCAGGAAGGGCACTTCCTGGAAGATGCTTGTGCACTACGGCCATGTTGCAGGCCTCAGAAAGGAATGTCCACAACACCTCATAAAGTCATCTGCTCTAGACAGAATTACTTACCCAGTCCCTGGCTCAACAAAGGCTAGTGTTGTTTGAACAGAAACAGAATGAATTCTGGAAAGTACCTGGAGATCAATGTGAGAATTCTGAAGCCCCTGCCCACCATCACCCCCTCCCTGCTTTAATCCCACCGAAGGTACAACACCTCCAGGCAGCTGAGCCAAGGCAGCAGGATAGAGCATTCCACATACTCCAGAGCTCCCTGCAGGCCAGTGTCCTGGGGACGGGCTGATGTGGCCCACCCAGGAAGGTTTCAGAGGCCCCCAGGGAGAGGTAGACACAAATGAGAGTAATATTGTGGCTGCTGGGTCTCTAGTTTCTTGGTTTCTCTGAAGTGGCAGGTGATATCAGTGGAATGTAACATAATAGCTGTCCTTAGCAAGTCGAACCTGGTAAAGAGAATATTCCTCACAAACAGCTGCCCTGGGCCCTCACCCCTTGTTTAGCACTTTCACCTTGGGCACGCTTGCTTCCACCAGTTCCTCCTTCACCTGTCCAATGCGGCTAACCAGGTCTGCCTTGTGCCAAGCTGGGCCTGCCCAGGAAATCCAGAAGGGGCCGGGACAAGGCCATGGACACAAGGCCACCTAACTAGCACTGGGCATAGGCCAATGCCCAGGCCGCACCCTGCTGGCGCAGCTGCACACACAGGAACAGGTTGTAACTGTTCCACCTCTTCTTTTCCTTCCTACAGGAAGACTGCATCGCTAGGTACAAGCTGCTGGTTGAACTGGTCCAAAAGAAAAAACAAGCTAAAAGCTGAATGTTCTGGAAGATGATATTCACGTTCATTTTCCAAAATGAGTATTTCAAAAATCTTATGCAGAAATTTGCATTTTGTACCTCAGTATTTCTATACGTCACGTGCCTTAGTAATAAATAAATAAATAAATAATAGATGTTGTGCTGCATTGTTTAAACAAATCCTGTGTTAAGGGGAGAAAAGAATTTGGGTATTTAACAGATTATTTCTCCTCCCTGCAAAGTTTACTTTTGGGGGAATGTTTCAAAAACTATGTTTTAGCAACCAGGCATACATGTTGTTAAAGGAACATAAACATGAACTAATGTGTAAGAATTCAAATTTAATGTGTTTCTCTAAAAGGCATAACATTTAAGCTAGGCGCATGACTATAATCCCAGCAGTTTAGGAGCTGAGGCAGGAGGAGCGCAAGTTTAAGGCCAGCCTCAGCAACTTAGTAAGACCCTAAGCAACTTAGTGAGACCCTGTCTCAAAATGAAAAATAAGGGCTAGTGAGGTGGCTCAAGGGTAAAGTGCCCCTGGGTTTGATCTCCAGTACCAAAAAAAAAAGTGTGTGTGTGTATGTGTGTGTGTGTGTGTGTGTGTAAAATGCATAACAACGTCTTCATTGGGGTTGAGTAGCAGGATGAAGTTGCTTAGAGATAAACCATCTGGCTAGCTAAGAATAACAGGAGGTTCTCTTAATTAGTTATGTGTATCTAGGAGGTAAAAAGTGTCTAAATGAGCAAAGGACATTGGACATAGGGTGGTAAAGTCAGAAGTGTGGGCTGCTTAGTAGAAATGTGGCCCCAACTAATAGAATTGCCAAGGAACATGCAGAAAAGTATTAGGAACTGATGGAACTGTGTCCTGTTTTTTCAAGACCTGAGTTAAAGTCACCGTTTTGTACCGTCAGCCTCAGTGGAGGCTGGTCTCATTGTTCACTTTTGAGCTGGCGCTGTCTTCTGAGTCTCCCTTTTGAAATCTGTCACCATCTGCTCAGTGCTGGATAGAGTGTGGTCACTGCAGCCTGAGCTTGGAAAACACAAAGATGACCAGGGCACATTCCAGAGAAATGACTTGATAAGATGCCTATAAAGGTGTCACTCTTCCCTAAGGATTAAAATGAGGCTACAGCTTTCTGAAGGAAACATTGGGGGACAGAGGTCACCACTGCACTGAGTGTTCACAAGAGGACATGGAGCCAGGTAAGCCAACCCTGAGCCCCTCCCCAAAAGCAGATGACAAGAGGCCTCTGGTGTCAGCTGACCTGGGCGCCACACAGCTCTGAGTGGAAGTTGTAGGGAACTCACACTTCAGAGGCCGAGTTGCCTAGTCCCCAAAAGAGCAGGTGACCAGCTCTGTTTTGCTTTTCACTGGACACCGGAGTTATGGGGAAGCTTCCTTCAGCCTCAGTGTCCTGGGGAAGGGAGGCTGTGTCTACCTGGCCAGGAGGGGAGAGGGACAGGACCTTCGCACTCAGTAGTGCTCACCTGCCCTCTTCCCAGCAACAAACCAGGACCATGAGTCCTGGGGAGGGCTCCAGGTGGTGCATTCACAGGGTCACACACCCCCCTCTCCCTTATCTAGGGCAGCTCCAGAGAATAAAACTAGTACACGGGGAGGAACAGAGGAGAGAATGTCCTGGCTGTGTTCCAGGCCTGGGTCCCTCTGGTCCAACCTCAGACCTATCTGCCATGCAGCCTGTGACATCCTGTGACCACCCTGCCATTAGATCACCCTTTTTATTTAAAGCATCTTAAACTGGATTTCTGTTATATATACACACACACACACACACACACACACACACACACACACACACTCCACCCTGGAATCCCCAAACTTGTCACCTTTTCTCAACTCCTTGGGAATCTAAGGCATGGTCTCTTCAGAGGCCTGTCTCTGACTTCTGGGTGAGTAGCATTCTCCATGGCTCCCCCTCTTCTGGGGACTGCAGGAGTTGAGGGGTTTGAAGGAGGACCAGTGGGGAGACATGCATGGGTTCCTGACTCTCAGAGGCCAGTGAGAGGACAACACACACAAGGCTGTGGTCTAGTGAAGCCACCTCCAAAAGGGACCTAAAACTACACAGCCTGGGGACCAAAGCTTAGGCACCAGCTGTGCTCATTGACAGCCCTGACTGCCCAGCCCAGACAGCATGCTGGGGCCTCCCCACATCTTTCCACCTCTGTCCTCCCTTCAGAAGCATCCAGGTTCCCTGCACTCCCCAGCTGCCTGTGCAAGTGGCCTTTGCCTGCTTTTTTGTTCTGCCTCAGCAAGGACATCAGGCAAGCACTCTGCCACTGATCTACACCCCCTGCGCTTTTTTCTTGTAAGAAGGGAAGAGATGGCGAGCACTGCCATGTGAATGTCTGTCTTGCCCTGCCTGACTACACAGGAAGGTGGAAGGTCCCAGGTTGGGAGGCGGGGATTCTAGTTCTGCAGCACCCTCCAGGGACCTGCAGCTTCTTTGGAGTATCGTCTTCAGAGTCTATAGGACATTCTTGGTTATATTCTCAACAAGGCCATTACTAAGTCTTTGGGGGTGAATTTGATACTTGCAAACAGCCAAAGATCCTGGAGGACAGTCACTGTGCTGCATGGAACAGCACTTTGGGCAGCGTCCCCAGAATAAGGCACCATCTCTCCAGGCCTGAGCCTCAGAGGCGCCGTGTGTCTTGTTCCCTTGCTGTCCTGCTGTGTGTGGCATGTGTGCAGTCAGACCCCACTGGAGGTTGGGAGGTGGGGGTACTGGCTCCCTAGTGTCTACTGAGCTATGTGATGTCAAGATTGTCGTCTTAATTCTTAAACAGAGAATAATGGTAGTTGCTCTGGTTGTTGGGTGATGAGATAATTGTGAAATCTTGAACACACTACCCAGCTGGTCAAAAGCAATAGGTATTAGGTTTCTTTCTGACTGTCCAAGCCTCCATTACTATCATCTCTGTGTGATTGTGGACACCGTCAGCAGAGCTGATGGGCCAGCATCAGGTTCCCTCCGTTCTCATTCCTAGCCTCCAGGCCCAGTGCCCATCTTGGGTCCCTATGTGGACTCACCAGCTCTGCAGAATCTTCCTGTGTCTTCAATTGTCATTCTCAGGGAGAGGGCCTAATCATCCACCAGGCGCCCTATTGGTCTCACCCAAAAAGGCCAACGCCTGTGCTGTAATGATTATTCTAAGGCAGCCAGTAGGCCAAGGTGGACCAAGAAGAACCCGAGGCTACACCTCAGTTCAGACCTCAGCTGGGCGACTGATGACCTGGGGCCTGGACAAGTTAGTTTAGCCTCTCTCTGAAGTTTGTTTTTGGTAAGGAAAATGCAAGTGCTAATGTCTGATGGCCACCTTGAGCCCAGTGAGGAAGGTGTTGGGACCAAGTTGTGCCAGACGGTTGGATTAAGGTTTGGAAAAGGCGTGTGGTTCCTAGGGAGAAGGGGGCTTGGCACCTGAGGAGGTGGGCAAGGCCTGAGCCATGGGATCCATCCCATCCAGAGTCTCCACTCGGACCCAGCCGGGCTGAGAGCAGCAGATGGCAGATGTCTGTTTCTGTTGAGTTGTTTGGACAAAGCACTGGGCAGGCCCTGGGCACTGGCTTCCTCCCTCTATGGATACTGTGCCTGCTGGCCAGGCATCTGCTCCTGCCCAGCTCTGAACAGCCAGGCCAGTGGCTCTGCGAGGGAGCCCTGCCCTGGGATCTCTGCCTTCATCTTCTCGAGTCTTATGCTTTAATGATTTAAATGTACTTTCCCCATTAAGGGCCCAAGTCTTAGCACTACTGTTTCTTTAAAACCCTGAGAGCACCAATTCTTAAAACCCACTCATCTCATCTCATTTGTCCTCATAAGACCCAGCTGGGCCAATAGGCTCTTGGCTGCCCGGCAGGGCTGACAGCCACTCTCTGTGCGGTCAGGCTGAGCTGGGTTTCTCTCCCAGCTGTGTCTTAGAATGCTCTGTCAGGGGACAGGGTGAGGAGTGGGCATCAGGGAAGCAAATTGCTTAGATTTTCAGCAGATCATCCGATTCTTCTGTGAAATTTGCCTCAGGAACAATGCAGACCTCCTGCGCGCCTCTCTCTCCTTGATGGCTCCACGTGGGCCTGGGGCCTGGTGGCCCTCTGCCCCGCTAGGGCGCTTTCAACTAGAAGCCAGCGGCCAACGGCTTTACTCTTGTACTGGTGTTTGCAAACTCCCATCTCCATTTGAAAATCAAATCTTAAAACTTTCCACTGGAAAAGTTTATGGATGCCTTATGAAGTGCCTCTTGCTGGCTGGACTTTGCCTTGACATGTGCCACCCCACTCCCAAGACCCCTCCAATATAGAGAGCTGAGGAACTGTAAACAGCAGGCATCTATCCCTGCTCAAGTCGTCAAGGTATTTGCTGTAGTTATCTGTTTTAGCAGACAGGCTTTTTCCTGAAATTAAAATGGTGACATGTAAACAGTGATGTTCTGTATACACAGGGAGTCTATGTGTCCCACACTGCCCAAGACAGCCCCAGTTTAGACCCAGCTAGGGCCATTCGGTTACCTGGCCACCCTGGTAATGGGGTATTGCTAACAGATGGCCACTCCCAGACGCCTGCAGATCCTGGAGGGACCCCCCCCCCCCCAGAGGAAGAATGGCAGAGAGATTTCAGTGTGTTTTGATTTAGGAAGCCCAGGAGGGGCGGTGGTGTGCCAAGCTGACCCCCAGACCCCCACAGGCCCTCACTGCCACCACACCACCCAGGTGGTCTCAGACCTTTTAAGACCAGGGCTTGCCCCTAGTGGACAAGGTGAGGCAAGGCTTCGGATGAGAACGTGACTGCGGTGACTTCACCTGTCGAGGTTGGGAAGATGGCTATTTCATCCTAAATTTTAAGGCCCTGTCATCATCCGAGTTAAGGTCCTAAGCAAAGCCAACTTCATTAGCATGTGTGACTTCCCTTCTGAGTCTGCAGACACAGGTGCTATGTCAGGTCGGGGTCAGCTTGGGTGTTGGCTTCACAGACCAAACCCAAGGTTGTCAGATGAGTGGCCTCTGAACTGTGTTGGCCCTTCAGGGTGCCCGCAGCCTCCCTGGGCCATTTGCAAGGATTGGGGAGGCTCACCAAAGTCCTCTGCGGGTTGTAACAGTGGTCGGCCGTGTCACGGGGCTGAGGTCTAGGCAGGAACT